ATGAAAAATAAAAATTGAAACAAAGTACTCCAGGCCTGCATTCCTGAATGAAAATAGTTAGCCAGAGACTAGTCTTGGTAAATCCTGGATAGTACCTGCACACCTGATCCCCACCAATATATCCCAGCCACCAAAGTCAAGGAAAATTCCATTTATCATTACACTTACCCTGGCTTTTTTCTATATTCAGTCTGCTTTACTCCTGAATGGTATTTAATGCTACTCACTAACCATGAGTAGAGTTGAGCTTGGACCCCTGGCTTTGGCTTAGTCGAGTCCTTTGCACCTCCAGGCCACTGGATATCTTTAATTTATACATTCAACCCCACATAGTCTCTGAGCCAATGAGAACTAAGGCCCCAAAGTACTTGCTCAGAGTAGAGAAGCTGCTATCCCACCTGAAGTATTCTGATAAAGCAGCACTTTGACTCCAATTCCCACCCTTGTTCCCAGGCCATGAATCCTAGTATTGAGTCCTTGCCACTGATCTTATAGTTCTCCTAGAAATCCACTTGGCTACTGACCAACAATGCCACCCTCCCACTCCTGGCTACTAACAACCTCTCACATAGAGACCAAACCCTATCATGCTGAGATCAAGGGATCCTTCTTGGATTCTTTAGATCAACAATTTCCATTATGATAGCCACTTAGCAATATGTGGCAATTGAACAATTGAAATGTCACTAGTCCAAACTGAGATGTGCTATAAATATAAAATACACATGGAGTTTCAGACTTAGATTGAAATAAAGCATATAAATTATTGTATTTGTAATTTTATATTAATTATGTACTGAAATAACAATTGTTTTTGATAGACTAAACCAAACATTGTTAAAATTAATTTCATCTATTTCCTTTTACTTTTTTAATGTGGCTACTAGAAAATTTAAAGTTACATACATGGCTCATATTGTAGTCCTACTGGACACCACAAAGACATTCACTACTATTCTTTGGATCTTCAATGCCTCCCAAAAGCTCATATTTTGAAGGCTTGACCCCCAGCCAATGGTGCTGTGGGGAGATGATGGAAACTTAGGGCAAGTAGGTCATTGGGGATGTATCCCTGAAGAATATACTGGGACCTGAACCTTTCCCCTCTCTCTATGCTTCCCTGATGCCATGAGGTAAGTATTTTGCTCTATATTATGCCTCTACCATGATTATCTCCTCATCATGGGTCCAAAAGAAATGGGCCAACAAACTATAGTCTGAAACTATGAAATAAAATAAATCTTTCTTCTAAATTATTTATCTCAGGTATTGTATTACAGTGACATAAAACTAACACAACCACTCTCCAAAAAAATTCTATATCTCCCTATACTCACTCCACTGGCCTGTGACAAGCAAGGCTTATAGCCAACATCTATTCTACTATCTGAAAAGCAGACTATTCCATCTGATCTCTTTAGGTGACTAAATTTCTGTTGAATGACTCTCCTTTAATACATGCTATTCTTCTCATTTCTAATTGAATTTGCAAAACTCCTGTAGTCACGTAAGTGAATGAGTAGAAGGGTGTCCTGCAATACCTGTATGGTGAATGTGTACTTGTACATAGAAAGTCATAAGGAAAGAATAATGTGGAAGTATGTTTTCCCAGTGAAAAAAGAAGGTAACCCTGGTAGGTAGGTAGGTAGGTAGGTAAGTCAGTCAGTAAGAGTCAGATACCTAAGGTGAGGATGGGGGTGCTCTCCCTCTACCAAGAAAATCTGGAAATGAATTCTCTCTCCCATCCACCATCAATAATAAAGGGTGCCAACCAGAGGCAATTGGGCCAACCCTACAGTCAAGAGAGTCTAGAATCAGAGACACTGAAGAGGAGCAAGAATTCCTTAGGAAAACCTAGGTGTCTATTTTCAAAGCAAAATAGTCCAGTGTAGGGGGCACAAGTATGGAGGCCCTCAAGTAGGGTTTGGCACTGTCCATTTAAACCAATCTGGATCACAAAAAAAAAATTCAATGATCTGAACATTGAAGCAATGATTACACTAATGTAATAGATTTTGGTAAATGAAGTATTGCTGTCAATGTCTGCTGATCTGGCCTGCTCTCATGAATCACCGGGTTTGTGCTTTTGGTAGTAACTCTTTACAAACACATGAAAGAGGAGAAAGCCTTGTTACTCAAAGTGTGTTCCCTGGAACGACAGCAGCAGCAGCAGCAGCATCTGGTAGCTGGTTAACCAAATTCTTGGGCCATATACTGAACCCAAGTTTAAAAGACCCTTGTTAAAATGCAATGAGATTTTGTACTTTTAACAAGATCCTGTGATCCATGTACATATTAAAGTTTAAAAAGTACATAAAGTTTAACCTTCTGACCATATTCATTTGCTTAACAAACTTTTTTGATAAATAAATAATGGCAGCCTTTCCTCTGAGTTAAGGTCTCTGGAATTTGCCCCACTGGGGACTTTCTGTTTGTCTTTTTCTTTGGACTGTAGCTAATAATACGGAATGCTCTTCAAGTAAATCAGTGGTTCCAGGTGGTTCTTGGATGTGAGCCTTGTAACAAGGCTATAAAAAGCCAGATCTTTCTCTTATAAGTTTCCAACTTAAGTATTCCCTGAAGCAAATAGCTTTGGCATAAGGGAGGCAAATATTTTTATGTAAAAGAGATGAATATCTGCATACATAACATAGTGCCCCCCACGTACATCAAAATAAGGGAAATAATTGCCAAAATCAATTTCATTTTAGAATGCTACACTATGACATATGAAAATGGGTCTTTATCACCCAAACTGAGAAAACAAATTTAATCCACATACATTTCATATTACTTAAAATTTTTACACTGCCAAAAAATTCTTCATATATATATATACATATATATCCATTATCCCTTAATTATTTTTATATCCTTCCCAGAACTTATAAAGTTATCACTGTGATAATCTGATAAGTTTTCCACTCATTTACTCCAACCAAGAAGCAAAAGAAAACACATAAGGAGAATATTGAATATTTTAAAATAAGACATTAATTCCTCAGTGGAATTACTGGCAAGAGGACTTTCTATTTCAAATATAAAGTCTCAAACTTCACAAAAATTCTCCAAAGTATCCAAAGACAACAAAAACAAATTAATGTAGGAAAATGTATTTAGATTTATGGTATTCCAAAGCAAACTTCAGCACAGAATACATAGCTATGCATTATGTATCCATACATATTTCAACATTTTGGTATTAATATTTATCACTACATAATATAAACCATTTGAACAATCATGACTAAATAGACTTTATGTATTTACTCTTAAATTAAAGATGCTTATATATTTGTATCTGACTGATTACATGGACTTTTTTCAGTACTGGAAGTTCAACCCAGGTTCTCAAATACAATAGGCAAGCACTCTACCACTATACCCCAGACTCCCAGCCTCCCACTTCTTCAATCCCCCTTTTTGAGACAGGATCTTGCTAAGCTGCTGAAGCTAGCCTCAAACTTGCTGCACTCCTGCCTCAGCATCCCTAATGGCTAGAATTATAGGTGTGGACTACCATAGCCAACAATTATGTGGATTTCTGTTAGTTAATCATACCTAGATGCTTTGCTTCCTGATATCTGTAAAACATAATTCATCAAAATGCACACAAAAACCTGGCTCAATTCAAGTTGAAAATTCAAAAAATGCCCTCTTAATAGCAAATAATAATAATAATCTAATTTAAAAATGGGCAAAATAGCTGAATAGATATTTTCCCAAAGATATACAGATTACCAGAAGGTGTATGAAAATGCATTCAACATCACTAATCACCAGAGAAATGCAAATCAAAAGCACAATGAGATCACCTCTCATCTGTTAGGATGGCTCTTGTCAAGAGATACAAGAATGTGGAAAAAGAAAACCTTTGTACACAGTGGGAATATAAATTGGTATAACCATCATGAAAAACGTATGAGAAATCCTAAAAAGAAAAAAAAGGATTAATGTACAACCCAGTCATTCCAAGGGAAACAAAATTAGTATCTTGAAGAGATACCTGCACTCTCATTTTCCTAGTGGCACTATTCCTAATAGCCAAGACATAGAATCCACCTAAATTTCCATCAATGGATGAATGAATAAAGAAACACAGATAAAGTGGAATATTAATCAGCCACAAAATACAAGGAAATTCTGCCTTCTGCAACATCGTAGATAAACCTGGAGGGCATCACACTAAGCGAAACAAGCCGGATACAGAAACACAAGTACAATATAATCTCCTTTACATATGGAATCTTTAAAAAAATGTTGAATTCATAGAAGCAGAGAATAGAACAGTAATTGTCAGGGGCTAAGAGTGAAATAATGGGAAGATTCTGGTCAAAGAATACGAACTTTCAATTATAAGAGGAATAAGTCTTGGAGATCTAATGTTCAGCATGGTATCTATAGTTAAAAATAATGTATTGTATAATTAAAATTTGCTAAGAGAGTAGACCTTAAATTTCCTTACCACACACAAACACAAAATGACATGGTGATGGATGTGTTGATTTGATTGACACATTTCACAAGATATCAGTATATCAAATCATCATACTATATACCTTGAATATATATAATTTTGATATGTTAAATGTACCTCAATAAAGCTGGAAGAAAAAAATACAATGCAGCTGAAACAGATGGAGAAAAACTACATTGCCATGGTGGCAAATCTCTCTTTAAATTTGTGACCTGGAATCTCCCCTAGACCTAGACCCTGACTAGTTCCAAGTAGCCATACTATATTTGTTCAGTTAAGTCACTCTCCCACTCCTCTGGACAACTAATTAGCACCTTCTCCTCTTTCTTCCAACCTTCAATATCTGCTTACTCATCTTACTCTCATTTGATCTTTTCTCATGTTTCACTGAGAAATGGAAAGAATCCAAAGAGAACACCTATAGATCTCTACCACCTGGAAGACTGACAGTGGCCTGCTGATTATACCCTTATTACATCTGGCTAAATTGCCACTGTCTTACCAGCTGAGGAGCTCCACTTACCATCTCCTTCTTATCTTCCTGGAAGTGCACATCCACAAACATTTTTCCAACAACATAAGGGAGGGCACTTTCAATAAAGTTTACACATTTGTCCCATTGAGGCAGCAAAGTTGTGGTCCCCTGGATCACCTGTGGGAGAAAATCAATTCAGTTTAATCTTCATTGGATAAAACCTATTTCTAAAAAAATCAACCAGCTGAAGAAAACAATATTTAAAACATTACACACCCAAGCCCATATACATGTAAGAGAGCAGAGGCAAAGGCAAACTCAGATGAAGAAAAATAATTCTGCTTGTTCCTGTTTTTTTAGAATTAAATAAAAATGTTTTGATAATGACATATAATGTAACATGTCTTTTCTCCCACTTTTCTTCATTAAGCAAAGGATCTAAACAATGATACAGCTTTTCAGTAGGGATCCAAAGGGATGTTCAAGTATTCAAGTGTTCAGATAGTACTTAATATCTATTAAGAATTGAAGTTCCATCAGAAAAGGTCTAGATCAAAGTTCCTGCCAGTGAGAGTTTCCTTGCTCTGGGGAATATACCTAAAAATATACTAAGAGTAAGATAACATGACCCACCATAAACAACCCAGGGAGCATATTTACATTGTGTCATAGCAGAGAACATACTGGTAAACAAATGAAATACAGATGTAAATGCTTCTCCCTTCAGTCTCAATTATACCATCATAAGAAAACATTTACAAACAAGTAAGAAACTTTGAAAGCAGGACTTGGAGGGCTTAAAGGTTTATTCTTGGGAATGAAGGCAGAGAAATAAATATAGTTTAAGTTGTCCCTGGAGGTTGGGCATGCAGGAAGGCAGTGGAGGGGGTAAGGGAGGCTTTGAGAATGGTGAATGGTGGCCAGAATCATCCCTTGTACAAAGTAAGAACCAGGTTGTTGAAGCAGGGAAAAGAGATTAATGCTTCAGTTCATCTATTCTTCCTCTGCTTCTGGTAACATGACCACTCTCAGAGGTAAGGTATGAATCTATTTTTAAAACCTCTAGAGAAAGAGTTCCTACAACCTTCTTTGGCAATTCAAAATTATATTTAGCACTTCACACTCAAGAAACATCCCCTCATACCTAACCTCAAATTTCACACACTACTTTCTCTTTCTCTCTCCCTCCCTCCCTCCCTCTCTCCCTCCCTCTCTCTCTCTCTCTCTCTCTCTCTCCCCTCTCTCTCCTCCTCCCTCCCTCCCTCTTTCATTCTCTTCACAGTAGAGGTGGAAAGCAGCTGGTTATCATCCTTTATGTGATCCATAAGACTTAAAAATACACTCACATCAAAAAAAAATTCTACTTGTTTTGGGGCTAGGTTGTGGCTCAGTGGTAGAGCTGAGTTCAATCCTCAGCACCACATAAAAATAAACAAATAAAATAAAGGTATTGTGTCCAACTACAACTAAAAAATAAATATTTTTAAAAATCTACTTGTTTTGGATCTGAACCATTTGATATAACATAAATATACATACTTGTTTTATGCTATACTCTACAAAATGACTTTCTATTCTAGTCACTTTAAAGAGTCAAAATGTACCCAAAATACCTGCATTACTCTGCAACCACAATGGCCCACTAAAAATTTCTATGCTCACTAGTTTCTCTAATAAACAAAATGTCTATTAAATGAAATCAGAGCTTATAAAATTTGCTTTCACTTAGCTTTGAATTGATAGAAAAATAAAATATTTTTAGAAGTCACAAAATCTTTAACTCCTCTAGTGGTGGCAGAATATTCATAAATAAACCTCAGAAACAGACCATAAAAATATCTGTGTAATTAGGAGGCATCCGGGATGGGCAAGAAGCAAAGACTCAAAATTCAGGTGAGTGGGGAGAGGGAAATCAATTCAGGCACTTGAGCAAGGTCTCAAAGGACACGGAAAAAAAAAATATGGCGTGGGCCTCATGGAGTGGGCCTAGCAGAATTAGGATAGATTCAAGATTAAAGATCTAAGTCAAGTTAAAGACAAAACTCTGTCACCAAATTAAAAATGAAACTTTGCCATCTAATGCCTATGTCATACATACGTGAATGTTCAGGATACTAAAAATAAAAGACAGTTACAGTGCAATCAATCACAATGAAACTCTGTACCCTCCAATCAGTATCTCCACTTTCATCAGTCCTCCCTATCCCCATAAACATATACATTATATGTCACTGAAAAATTAAATAAAAACTACTTTTAAAAGATAGTTTCAAACATATCACTAAAAAATGTTAAAACTATAATTATAGTGACCCAGTTAAAAACCCTGGGGAAAAATGGAAATAAGTTAATAAGAGGGGAGAGTTGAAAAACAATGTGACCACGGCCGTAAGTATTACCTTAAATATCTTTATATAGCCCCATCAAATTAGAGCTTGAGTGTACTCTTACTGTATTTAAATTGTACCTGAACAAAAAGAAATCAAACAAGAAAAGACCTTGGGCTGCAAAACTTCCTCCTATCCCATCCCTAAAGGCAGTTTTTATTGGACCAGTTAATATACAGACTGTTCTGGCATGTAAAGTTATCCAATGCTTTAACATTACAATCTTCTTAAACATACCCTTGAGAATTCCAGCCATCTATATTGAAAGCGCCTGCTCAGGTTTGGAATTCTGGAATAAACCATTCTCCACACCAAATAGTTGGCAATGGTCCTGTTAACATAGAGAAATGCACATTTATTGTATTTTAGGTCGATATCTGATCCTCTGCAGAACACCTTCAGAAAAACTGTTGGCAAAGCTCCACGGAGAGACCGCCTGTTCATATAAAAATGCAACACTTTCACTTGAGAAATGTCATAAAATGATACAATGTCAATAAGCACAACCAAAATTGGCTTGCCTTTCACCACCTACTTACTACAGAGATAAAATGAATATTTCAACCCCAGGTCTGAAAAGTGAACACTTCGCTTTCTTTCTGGCAGAGTCCACTATTGCCTTATCTCCCATACCTGGAAATTGTAAATACCTTCAAATTATAGGTGACTTGATGTAATGCGTATGTATTATTTGCCTTCAGAAATTAACAGCAAAATACTGACCGATACCTATTGTCTAAATTTGCACTTATTAAATATGTGAACTCAGGGAAGTCACTGAAGCTCTCTGATTTCTCTTTCCTTACAATACATGACGGATGTTCCCTGACTCACAGGGTTATTGTGAGGTTAATATAAGTAACAAAATGTTTGACAAAGAGTAAATACCTAAGGTTATATTGTGTACTCCAAAACATGAACATTCCCATATGCTCTTGCAATGCCCATGATACCTACTTTCAAAAATCTGCTACATTTAAGTGGTGCCTTTTTCTATAAGCAAAAGATGTCCTGAGCTCAGAAGGACACATGATCTGAGTTAATTTCTAATTCAATAGTGATGATGGATTTTTGATGACCCACCTTACTCCCAGCTGTGCCATCACCATGGTGACTAATAACACACATTCCTAAGATGGCCCTTGGGTCAACCAGAAACGTGACATTGGTGTGACATGATGATGCTAATTGGCTCATCAAAAACAACCTACTCTCTCATTATTTGCATGGCTCTCTAATGTAGTGGCTGTGCACTCCTGACAGCAAAATATTTTTCAGCATATTCAACAATATGTGGATGCTTGTTTTAATTTCTATATAGGTACAGGCTAAAATATTAGGAATCTTTAAATAAATACAGAAATTTTAAGAGATAATATAAAAATATTTTCAAAAACTCATAAATTAACCCTTCAAATATTATGCTTATTATTTAAAACATATTATCCTCATAGAATTGGGCTAATACAGTGGCAGTGCATATAAATCCATATTTCTTATAGTGTTTTTGACTTTTTCAAAAATTTTGAGATACCCTTGTCATATCTGGTTAGATCACTATTGTTTTCCCTTGTCATCTGGCTAACCAAGATGGCATACTAGTGTGAAAGAAGGGTCACTTCTGCCATTTTATTTCCATTCCATGCTTATGCTTATGTTAGTAGTAGTAGCTTCAGTTCATGTTTCTCTACAAAAAAAAATATTTTAAACTACTTGTCCTTGTTGTGAGGTTTAAACTAAACTACATTTAAAAAATTCACAAATCTGTAGGTATATGTAAGAGGCTCATGATTATTTTCAACCTGTAAAATGCAAACAAACCAGTGACTGTAATAGTGCCTCTGCCATGCATATCATCATCAAGATCAAATGAAGGTCCATGGCCACGTACATAGTAGAACTTAATAAAACCTAATAATTATTTTAAAATTTAAAAATAAAGACAGAAGTTCTAACATTTTCTTCTTGGACCCAAGGGATCTCCTTGGGCTATGAATATCCCCCCTTAGAGGCAACTACCCAAATCAGTAAAGTCAAGCCCCTCACCCATGTTTTGTTCAGACCACTCTGATAAACACCCCATTTTAGGTCATTGCTTCAGATCTTTTGCATATATATCTATCTCTATGCCTGAACAAGACAAAAAGTGCTCACTGAGCACTTACTCCTGGCCCAGTGTTGTGCCAGGTACCATGAGGAATGTTGAAAAACAGGAACCTAGCACCTAAGTCAAAGAACTGAAGATTTCTGTTTGTTCATATCATTGGGTTTTTAATTGAAGGGACACACTATAAGTACATAAAGGAGCCTTCTTTCCCTGACTCAATCAACATACTTTGAGCATCCAGATATGTACTAATAGTTCTAGATGCTGGGGAGATATAGAGGTAAGAAAGATATAGGCCCTGATCTCCTGAAGCTTTTAGTTGAGCAGAGGAGTTGGGGGAATGAATAAATATTTGGCAGGTCCTAGCACCCCAAAGTAGGTGCCAGACATTCCCTAGAAGTACAGCACATCTCATACTGAGGGATAAATGTAGACTTCATGAGAGGGACAGGGCTTAAACTATATCTGAAGGTTGGAAGGCTAAATAATGGGAGACTAGGCCATGCATTGGAGGGAATGGTGAGCAGGATCATTAGTAAAGGAAGTAAGCAAAAAGACAAGCCACACTGGGAAGATGCAGGACAGCAACTGGGGCCTGGAATCTCTAGTGCATCAATGGGGCAGCTCCTGACCCTAGTGCAATGGCTATATTTTCTTTGTCTTTCAAATACTGTTTGCTGAGTGTATGAGCTGTGCTGGATCAACAGGGGCAGATTAGAAGATCACTGGCTGGCAGATGTCCCTCCACAAAGTCAAAAGATATTCCCTAGAGGGGGTGGTGATGAGTCAAATCAAATGGGGAAGTTGTGAGGATGGAGTGTGACAGTAATAAAAGAGTCAGTATGTCAGAAGAAGACTGGGGTTTTAGAAGTAGGGGCCATTTCAGCTCACCTGAAATCATCCCACATAGGCATCTCACATTATTGATGATTCTCACAGCACCACTATAGGAGAGAAGTTACTACACCCATTTTACATATAAGAAACATGAGGCTTAGAAGCATTAAGTAAACTCATCACACAGTTGGTGGGTCTCAAACTAGTAGAATCACCTGGGGAGTTTTTAAAAGTCCAGATGTCCAGGCCACTCCAAGCCAATTCAATCACAATCTCTTGGGTGAAGCCCAGCGTGAATATTATTTTCAAATTCCTCCTTCAAATCAATGTGCAGCCAAGTCGGAGAAGCAGTGTAATAAGCAATGGAGGCTAGACAAGAGCCAGGTGTTTCTAGATGTAAAGCCTGTATGTTTTTCTCTACACCACACAGTGAATGAAAGCCCTGGAATTTGGCTAAGATTTCCTGTCCAGTCAGAGACAACAAAACACTCCAACAAAGATACTTTGCAGAAATCTGTGGGCACAAAAAGATAATAGTTAGGCCGTCCAGGCCAATGCATTCCTAAGAGGATAGCATAACAATGAGACTTCTGAGAGTGGAAGATGGAATGCTGGGGAGCTCACACAGCCAGCCAATGGTACTACCAAGTGGCTCCACTATGGTATAAATATGCTGACAGAATGCTATGGAGCATAGTTTAGCAGTGCTAATATCACCACATCAGGAACAGATATGACTATAATGAGCAAATCACTGCCACCTAATGCTCAGATACATCAAAAACAAAAACAAAACAAAAATTAGATCAGCAACAGTCCTTGAAAATAACACATATTATCTTTTTTCTCCAAAAAGCTTTTCCAGCAGTACAGTAATTTCCCCAAATGGCAATAAATAAAGGAAAGGAAAGCATCCCAGAAGAGAACCCACCACTAAGAAAGCAATATGAAATCCTTCCCCAAATCCTCTGACTTGGAAGATTTGTTCTTTAAGAAGCTTTTGCTGCTCCATGGTCTGAATTAGCAGCAGCTTACATTTACATTACATTTAAGAGCTTATAAAATACCTCCTTTGATCCTGATGACAGTGCCATGGGGTGGTTATTATAATTAGCTTCATTTTCATATGAAGAAAATAAAGGTCAGAGGTCAAGGGACTTCCAAGAACATGTCCAATCTGGGACTAACATTTAGGTCTTCAGATTACAGTTTGCATTTATTTCTCCCTGTCATGCTACCTGAGGTGAATCATAGAGGTTCTTCTCAAACATTCTCAAATCTCAGAAATCTTCCTAAATCTTACAGGTTGCCCAGATGCATGCTTAGAGCCGTACTTCTCAAACCATGTCCCAGTATTGGAAGTTTCAGCATCACCTGAGAATCTGGTAGAAAACTGGCCTTGTCCCATTTCAGACATACTAAATCAGAAAATGCAGGGATGGGGCCCAGCAGTTTGTGTTTTAGCAAGCCCTCCAAGGTATTCTGATACATGTCAAGGTTGAGAACTTCTGGTAAAGAAAAACCCCATTTTTTCATCTTTCTGCATATATGGCTCACTGAGGCCTTCCTAAATCCTAGGTCAATGCTTCTTAAACTTTAATGTGTACATAAATCTCCTGGTAGGGGCTGGGGATATAGCTCAGTTGATAGAGTGATTGCCTTGCATGCACAAGGAGCTGGATTCTAATCTCCAGCACCACAAAAAAAAAATCACTTGGGGACCTTATTGAATTGCAGATTCTGATTCAGTTAGGTCAAGGGCATAGACTTGAGATTCTGCATTTCTGACAAGTTGTCAGGTAATGCCCAGACTGCTCATCTGTGGACTATACTTTGAAAAGCAAGGCCATAGACCACCTCAGAAGAGATGAGCCTCATGAGAGGTTCATATTACTATACATTTTCCAGGTGAGCCTTTGGGAGCATCTATTCAACAAGAATCATCTGACTTTAATGTACACTGTGCTGCTCTATAAAATAAAACTAAAGACAGGAAAGCTCACAGGGGCTTGGCAAACTCCCAAGGATTTGCTTGAGACAAGTCTGCTAAAAGAGTTCTAAGGCAGATGATGGCCATGTGGCCAGGCCTTGCTACAAAGAGGAACCCAAGCTGATTTTTTTCCAACACCATCCTTCCTTAGTCCCCAACCCCCAACTCTTGCTCCACAGATCAAATTGGATAAAATATGTTCAAGGCAGCCTTAAGTTGGAGTGGGGAGGAGAAATGAAGGGGACATAGAAACGAGTCTCTCTTTATGTAAAAGCTATGTTACTAGCTCAGTGATATGCCAGTAAACATCTACCAACTGCCTTGCCAAGAAAAAGTAATAATTTGCAGAATTTGCTAGTTTCCCTGGTGTAAAACTTCTACCCTAGTTGATCACAAATTATAGGTGAGATTACTGAAAATAGAGTTAGGAAGAGATGCAAATAACTTGAGAGATTCAGCACATTCCTACCTCCTCACCACTTTTCTACTTTGACTACCAACTCCTTTTCCCCATGTTGGCCTCCACCTCATGCCTCCATTGGCCCTGCCCTGGCCACCTACTCCATTGAACCACAAGGGCCTAATGCAGTCTCTGGCATCACCACCTCAGTGAGATTTCATTGCTCTAGTTTTGCGTCATGTGCTACCTTTCAGAGTGTCGGTGTAACTGTCCCCATAGCCACCCAATTGGAAGGAAAGGTTGCATTGTACTAAGCTAACAACAGGGTGTGATCTAAAGGGGGAAGCAGCAGCCAGGAAATGGGCATTTGATGCACACTTAATAGCTTTGGAACCCTAAAAATGGCAGGAGACTTGCCAACATTAGCAAGATCTAACCAGTTGGAGGTACAATAGGCTAGTACTAGTTGAGCACCTCTAATCTACAAACTTGAGATCTAAAATGCATCATCATGAGGCTACCAGTAGAACATTCCACATCTGACCTCCTATGACAGGGCACAGCCAAAATACAGGTGCACTAAAAATATTGTATGAAATTACCTTCACCATGCCAATAAAGTGCTGTCAATATTCTCAAGACAATAGAGTATCTTGAAATCTCACAAGAATTCACAGAATTCAAGTTATTCTTGATGAATTGATTATCGAGGGATAAACTGTCAAAGATTTGGCTTTTGTCTTGATTTTTAAATGAAGTTTTATAGTACATAATATCTTCAGGTATTTTTCTATCTACATCATCTACTGTTGCTCATTATGTTTACATTTGTCTAAGTTATCATTTTGACAGGAACCACAATGAAATTTACCTCTAATCATGGTTTTTCCTGCTCACTATTATTATGAAAAGTCCTACAATTCTAAAATATAATCATTACCATGGAGATGATTTTTCTAATACAGTAGACCATGGCCCAATTTATCCCCTGGTTATAAATTAGACTTTTTGGGGAAACAAAATTAACACAATGTCCAAAAATTGCTATTATTTTACAAGTGATGGTAACAGACACTACAAGAAACTGACTTTTGAGGTTCTGACAATGATCTTCAGCCTGGCAAATCCCACCTTTCAATGGAAATTACCAATGAAATTTAAAATGCACTCAAGAACTCAATGCATATAAGTAGAAAATCATTTGGGCCATATTTTGTAGTATAGGTTGAGCAACACTAATCTGAAAATCCAAAATATGAAATGCTCCAAAATCCAAAACTTTTTTATTATCAACTTGAGGCCCTAAGTGGAAAATTCCATACCTGTCCTCATGTAAAGAGGTGCAGTCAAAATGCAGGCATGCTCTAAATATTATATGAAACATAAAGGAATTTTATGTTTAGATTTGGGCCCCATCCCTAAGATATCTCATTATATGTATGCAAACATCCCAAAATCAGAAAAAAAAAATCTGAAATCTAAACCCTTCTGGTCATAGGCACTTCAGATAAGGAATGTTCCATCTGCATTCAGAGCTAGGAAGTATTTACAAAGAAATTTTTCTAACACAGTGTTCCTCCCTAAACCCCCCCCCTCTCAAAAAAAAAAAAGAGCTAATCATAAGATATTCCTGGGCTGCTTATTTAAAATCCAGATTCCTTGGCCTTCCCCCAGCCCCACTGTCTCAGACTCTTTGGAGAAGGGCCCTGGAATCTCTATTTTCAGCAAGGATACAAGGTGATGCTGCTGGCATTACTGGTTCATGGTGCACATTTGGAATGTGAAGGCTCTGCCTCCAACTTACCCACATCTAGATTCGATTTTCACTTAGAAATTTTTCAAAGAATCACTATTTATCTATAAATGGTAGAATTCAAAGTGAATTTATTGCTTCTTCTCTCCCTCTTCATAGGATTCTAAATGGTTTTTTTTGTTGTTTTTGTTTGTTTGTTTGTTTGTTTGTTTGTTTTTTGGCTGGGAGCGGGGGTGAATACATGCTACATTTTATTCAAAGAACTTTTTAAATTTTTTTTAGTTGTCAATAAACCTTTATTTTATTTATATTTGGTGCTGAGCTAAAACCCCATCCCATTTTTAGGACTTTTATCGCTGCCTGTTTTAAACATAATTCCTGGCAACATAGCCTTGATCAAGTACAATTAAGAAAATATGTTTTGTGGGGCTGGGGTTGTAGCTCAGTGGCAGAGTACTTGCCTAGCACATATGTGGCCCTGGGTTCAATCCTCAGCACCACATAAATAATGAAATAATAAAGGTATTGTGTCCACTACAACCAAAAACAATTTTTTAAAGAAAATATGCTTTGTTTTGGGTACTAGGGAGTGAACCCAGGGGCACTCTACCACTGAGTTATACCTGACCCAGCCCTTCTCATTTTTTAAAATAGGGTCTTACTAAGTTGCTGAGGGTCTCACAAAGTTGCCAACACTGGCTTCAAATTTGCAATACTCTTGCCTCAGGCTTCCAAGTTCCTAGGGTTATAGGTGTATACCATTATACCCAGCTCAGAAAATATGATTTTTAATCATGGCTCAGCAATTAATTTAGTAAATTGCTTTTGTAAACTTACTGACCCTTCTGTGATTCATTTTCTGTAGTCATATAGCTTAATGAACACATACAATTCTCTTTCCTGGCATTTTTAGGATTTCTTTTCTTTGTAGCACTAAACTACCAAAGTTACAAATTCTAAAACATTTTTTAAAATAAGAGAAACTTTCAAGTTCCTGAAGTTGTTTCATCAGTGCAATTTTTCTATAGCTCTCAAAGTGGTCTTATGTCTTTTCAACATAGGTACTTTGGTTTCTTGCCAGAAAATGATTTACTAAAAAGAGAACAGGAGAGGAAAAAAAATAGCAAAAGACCAAGGGATGAACTGGGAGGGGGGGGGGAAACATATGTTCATACAGAAATCTCAGGAAATAACATCATTACATAACCAGTTTCCAAAACTAATAAACAATTTAGGCTATCAGAGAGAACAGTATGGAGAAGGACCAGAAATAAAAGGCCAAATCATCATGCATTTCTTGTCATCACAGTAAGTAAATTACACCAGACAATGGTTTGGGCATATTTGTCACAAAGGGCACCACAATTTTCCCTATGACTCTTTTGCTGTAACTTTCCTTAACAACAATTTTCAAAGGATGTGAGAAGGGAGGCCCTTCTAATTTAAAGAGAAAACAAAAACCAAAATAAATGCACACAAAAAGTTCTTACTTCTTCCTCTCAGAGCCTAATATCCTAAACAAATCTTTAAAGTACTGTGGGACACGGACCACCACGTTCTCGGAGGGGCTGATGTCTTTCAGGTGGGGATACAGCCTGACATCAATGACCTTCTTGATGTAGCCCAGCCAGTCAAACTGAGGGGAGAGAGAAAAAAAAATGAGCAAGGAAACCTTTGTAAATTAGGCAGCAAGTAACAAGAAAGGCAAATAGAGTAGGCTGAGCATAATTGATTCCTTGAAATCTTACACCAAATAATTAAAGATACAACTGCTTATAATTTACTTATCTAGAAGATTAAGTGTTAACCCTTGCTATTTTGACCTGTGGTCATAATCACAAAGAATTCTGCCTTCTTTACTGGGTACAATTGGATAAGACACTTATGTAGTAATGCACATGCACTCAAGCATGCTCCCTAGCTTCTCTGGCCCTCCTCCACTTCCTGAACTCTCTCTCCTTCATCTCTCCATACTGCTTTCTCAGCCCCCTGGACTCTTCCTCTAGTCTATGCTCCATTCCTCCCATGTCTTTTCCTTCTCTCCCCCACTTCCTTCCCTTCTTCTGTATACACACTCCCTGGTCTCTCCCTCTGTAGTCTCTCCATTCCCTAGACACACAGATACAGACACCTCAGTACATTTTCTGGTCACCTCCCCAGCACAGTCTTAACACAGGAGAAAATAAACAGCAACAGAAAGTAACACCCCTATATTCTTCAGAGCATTGCTATTTCGCTAAAACCCTGCTCGATGTTTTAGACTGGCTCTCCTAAAAGTGATTTATCAACCTTGTCTCCCTTGTTTGCTTTCACTGTTGAAATGGAAAAACAGTTACTCATTTTCCCAGTGTCCAGCCCCCAAGATCCTCTCCTCAGTTAGGTGTGGTCACGTGCTCCAATTCTATTCAATAACAAATAAAGGGAAGACATCTGGGGAATATTCTGGGAAGCCTTTTTTGCTGTCCCTGATAAAAGAAAACTCAAATGTGACCATCACTGGCCCCTCCCTCTTCTTCCTGTCTGATGGAAGATTTGATATATGGAACTATGGTAGCTGTTTTACAACCATGAGTCATCAAACATGAAGTCAAAATGCCAGTACAATATGGAGAGTAAAATAGAACTTGGGTCTTTGACAACACTATTAAACACCTGAACCAATACCAATTACTTCCCAACATCTTGACTTACATCATGTAAAAAAATGGGCTTTAAATTTTAAGCCACTGTTAGAAAGATTTTCTGTTCCCTAAAACAGAAAGCATCTTAATGCATATACAAGGGATATTTTATGTGATAGTTGACAAAGATGATGATAACTAAAAAGACTGATGGTAGGTTTTACAAGGCAAAAATTTACACAGATGAAATACAATCACTTGTAAAGTGACCAGTTAAGAGAAAATTTCCTGGATAGTTTTCACCAACCTGGGGAATCATGGCACTCAGTTCAGAAATATTCATTTTGTTGTACATGGCCTCACTGGTTCGGTTTTCATGTGGAATCATTATCTGTCAGAAAGACACTGGTTATTTTTTTTTCAAATGAATCATTTCTTACTGCCTGACTACTATCTACATGTGCCAAAACATCTGTATATTATTATTAAATTTTTCAAGATTTTGGTGTGGTGCCCAGCTGAGGGGAAAAAATAAAAAAAAAAACAACATCTTAGGCAGGATTAAGAAAATTAAAAGAAATTTACAATCCTCTTCAGTATAAAATATTGCCCCCGGTATAAAAAACAACTTCTCAGAATCTCCTCCTCCTCTAAAATTTGGAGAAATATAATGCATTACTGGCTTACTTTTGACAGCCAAACTGAAGTTGGACAGTTTGAGGCAAACATTCTACTTTTACCTGTCTCCAGATAATGATCTCAATACTCTATGAGCCAGAGACCATCATTTGATCTCTAGGGACAAATTTTCACTGGCAAACACTAGGTTATCTAGATACCACTGCTACCCATGATCATTTTGTCAGTAACAATTTCCCTTATTTTCTCCTCTTGTTTGTTTGGTCTTGAGATTCTCTTTACCCCTCTGTTGGGGTATGGATTTGGTTACCACCCAGACACATATCCAAATCTCCATCTGTGGCCCTGACTCTCCATACTCTTTCCACACCCAATGCTCATGCTCTTGGCCATTTGGCCAAAACCAAATCTAAGCTTTTTGCGAGTGATGTGTTTACCTTATTCTAAGAACAGGAACACTTATTACCTTCTTCAAGGGACATCTTAATCACTTCTTTTGACAAAACCATACCCACCCCTGAATCACATTATGATTTTGCTTTAAGGCCTTCTTTTAAAAAATATTTTCATCTTCTTGGTCCTGGGGATTGAACCATATGGTGCTTTGCCACTGAAATACATCCCCTGTTCTTTTTAATATTTTATTTGTTTTTGGTACTGGGATTAAACTCAGGGGTGCTGTGTTACTGAGCTACATACATCCCTAGTACTTTTTATTTTAAGGCAGGGTCTTTCTTACTAAGTTGCTGAGATTGACTTCCAACTTGCAATCCTTCTGCCTCAGCCTCCCAGGTCACTGGGATTACAGGCAGGTACCACCAATGCCCCATGTTTCAAGGCTTTCTATAATTTAATTCTTTTGCATGACACACAACTCTTCTACCATTACATTCCCTATCCACTATTACCCCTCCATGATTTGGACTATGATTCAAGATTTTGCATAAGATTTATTTTCTCTAATAATCCTTTTCAATTAAACTCTACTTGGTTCTGATCACAAGGGCTACTCCATTAACAAGTCCTCTCCTTATACAAAGTCTCTCTATCTGGGATTAGGTAAATTGTACGCCCTTTTTTGTTTTGTTTCTATGGTGATGGGGATTGAATCTGGGGCCTCATGCATGCTAGGTAAGCACTCTACCACTGAGCCATTTCCCCAGCCCCTAAATGCACACTTTCATGGATGCTTTACAAGGACATATTTGGGCTTAACTGGGCTGCCCTGCATCCCCAGCCTTAGAAGTTTCCCTAAGACAATGTATCCCACTAATGTTGAATGGATCTAGTAACCTGACGCATGGAGGAAGGAGGGGAGCATTTCTAATGTACATTTCTAAAGAACACACACCATGGATTTTTCAAGGCAAAATCTTAGAGGGCTGAGTAGAAGACAGTTGCCCTGTCTGTTCTAAATGCCCCAGTGCCTTTAGCTTCTCCCCCTTTCCCCTCCATAGGGGAGACTGCATGTACCTTCCAGCTGTATGTTAATCATTGCCTCTTCCATCCATGCCTCCTCCTCCTGCCTCAACTCAGGCTCACAACCCCAGGTTGGAGCCCTCTGACCTCAGAGCTGAAAACAGCTCTATGCCAGCTATTCCCCTCCATATAATGGATTTGTCACTTAATTGAGCCTCTTGATAATTTCCAGTCTTGCCTCAGAGCAGCTGTTTTTATTTCCCTTCTTGGTCTAACTCCCTGGCCTTCCCTGTTTTTTTTTTCAAAACTTCAATCTAAAGTAGATCTCTGGGCCTCCTATGTGCCTGAAAAAGGGAATCCTGACAACCTGCATACACAGCCTAGAGGCAAAGTTGTGGACTTCGAAATACCTGTGGCAGTATTCACAGTATATAGAGGTGACATGCAGGCATGATCTTTTGTATTGCAAGTAGGAGATGGGAAAGAGGTAATGTGAACATCATCTCAGCAGGAAGGAAGCCCCATTCCCTCCTGACCTTCGTTCTTTATCCCTACTCCATACTTCAACTTACTACTATTACCCTACCAAACATGAAACCAATAAACATTTGGACTTTTATTTGCATCAGGTTTTTTATCAAGGTCCATTACAAAAGACCACAAACCCATATGCAAAGTTTCTTGGTACAAGTTTGTTTGTTTTCACAAAAGTTTCCCCACAAGCAGATATCACTATATTTGTTTTCTCTGAACCTGTGAACATACAGGGCTTTCATACTTTGGTTCTTCTAGAAACTGGTTATTTTATAAACAAAGAAAACCATTTAAGATTGCTCATTATTCTCCCATGAGTTTGTTTTTCATGCTGTTTTGTCTCTAACCTGAGCCTGAAACCTGACATTAATTGGTAGATAGACTTCCCTGAGCCCAGATCTTGCATCAGACTTACCCAGTAAGAATGGTATGAAGAGGGAAGGGGGGTATGGGGATAAGAATGATAGTAGAATCAATTGTACATTATTACCCTGTGTGTACGCATAATTATACGACCAGTGTAACTCTACATCATAAATAACCAATAGAATAAGAAGTTATACTCCACTTATATATGATATGTAAAAATGCATTCTACTGTCATATATAACTAATTAGAACAAATTTAAAAATTCTTTAAAAAATGAAACTCAAGGACTGGGGTTGTGGCTTGGTGGTAGAGTGCTCTCCTAGCATGTACAAGGCACTGGGTTCAATCCTCAGCACCACATAAATGTAAAATAAAGATACTGTGTCCACCTAAAACTAAAAAATAAATATTAAAAAATGAAACTCAATCTTCACCTTTATTTCATATTCTAAATTTAATTCAAAATAGATCAGGACATAAATGTAAGAGCTAACATTCAAAATTTTCTAAGGGAAAATAAAGGAGAATAATCTTATTCAAAAAAAGCAGACTCGGGGCTGGGGTTGTAGCTCTGTGGTAGAGTGCTCGCCTCACATGTGGAAAGCACTAGGTCCGATTCTCAGCACCACATAAAAATAAAATAAAGGTATTGTGTCCATCTACAACTTAAAAAATATATTTAGAAAAAGAAGACTGGATTAAAAGTAACTTTCCAGAGTTGGGGGTTGACTCAATACTATGCATGAGGCCCTGGGTTCAATCCCCAGCATACTCACAAAAGAGTTATTAAACATTTATATTCTATTCAGGGTCACACAAAAGTTTGTCTAGGAAAATAGTCTGGTCTTTCTGCTGCTATTCTCTGGCCACAGCTGAGCAGCATACAGACATGGAATGTATTTTTTTTAATCTTTATTTTATTTATTTATTTTTATGTGGTGCTGAGGATCAAACCCAGGGCCTCACACATGCTAGGCAAGTGCTCTACCACTGAGCCACAACCCCAGCCCTGAATGTGTTTTGTTTGGCTTGGTTTGATACCAGGGATTGAACTTAGGGGCATTCAACCACTGAGCCATATCCCCAGCCCTATTTTGTATTTTATTTAGAGATAGTGTCTCACTGAGTTGCTTAGGGCCTTGCTTTGAACTCATAATCCTCCTGTCTCAGCCTCCTGAGCTGCTGGAATTACAGGCATGCACCACCATTGGACCTGGCTGTTAAATGGGTTTAAACAAGTGGAAAGAATGAAGAGCTCTTCTTCCTGCCATGGTTCTTCTCATACTTCCCAGAGAGGATGCTGTTAGTTCTACTTTGGACCCAAAGGGCAGTGACACAGAATGCTGATACTTGATTGCAATTTTTATTTTCATTCAAGATATACTGACTTTAAAATAAGAAAAAGAACATGAATAAAGGATTTTCAATTAATACTCACCTCAGCTATCTTAATTTCTAATCTAAGCACTGACTTCATGTCATGCTCTGCTCGAGAGCTGTTAGCTCCTAAAAGCACAGCAGTGTCCACCATGAACCTATAAAGGGCATCCCGATACTGTAAGAGATAAAAAAGCAAGTGACCATGTCAATAGCCTACTAGAAGATATGTTTCAGAAAAGCAGGAAAAAAGGTATAAATAAGTGTCCTTCATTTTCATTCTGTGCTCAAAGTATGGTATAGGCATTATATAACACTAGCCACCCACCTACCACTTTGGGAGACAAAAAAAGTGATGGGTTTGTGAGACTGTTTCCATAAAAGACAGAGATACTCAGTCATCAAGCATCAAGAGAACTAGGCTTCCCATAACTGGCTATATTATGGATACATGAAACATCTCCAAATAAGCCTAGAATAAAAAGTTAATGTTCAAGTGTCCTCTTTTCACGCAAGTGAAGCTTTAATAAAATAAAGGGAAATGACTGTTTCTAAAAGCAGGAGTCCTGATCCATAAACACTGATGGGAAGTGTGATTTATTCTCTTCCAGCTCAATTTATCCACCTTCATACTCAGAAATGAAAGATGACTGCAGTTATTAAGGCCCTGTGTCTTTTCACTTTTGTACAGTTTCCAACAAGTTCCCTGTGGCTCAGGGGGAAAAGATGGGAGAGAAGGGAGAAATGATGAGAGAAATCTAGCAAACAGCAAATATGAAATTTCTTCCATCATGTACACCTGAACTCTGTAAGCTATTCTTCCTATGTGTATGATCTCAGGCCCTATACAGTGCTCAGCACATAATGAGTCATTAATAAAACTGATCTGATCAGTAAGCAAGTTTTGCAAATAGTCTTAATAAGAAAGAATTTTTTTGCCATTCCCAATTCAATTCAGAAAAAAATTCAAACTACTCAATACATATGCAAGGTGACTGGCTAGGCAGTCTGTGGGAAAAGGCGATACAGATGAAAAATTAATAATGCTTGAGTCTGGTTCTCAATGTGTGATCCAGTGAGGAAGATAAACATGTCATTACTAACCATAACATTAGTAGGACAAAATTAATTTCTTACTAAAGTTTCATGTTTGGAAACTCAAGAACTGGAGAAGGATTCTTACCTGGAAGATTGGGGATGGAGAATTTGAGGAAGACCTATTTGAAGCAGTGAGGAGGACAAGTTGCTTTGGTTGAGGGAAAAACAAAAGTAGATGAGTCAGAAAGAAAAGGTGGGTTAGGATCAACCATGAAGAGGCCTTGAACTCCTTCAAAGAGCCTATTTTCAAAGCAAAGGCACTGTGGGAGCAATGCTATAAGAACAGAGCTTATCCAGTGGTGCTAAGAAATCAGTAGAAAGAAGGGAAGGAGGGACCAGTTAAAAGATTGCATGCTGAAGACAAGATAAGGGTAAACAAGAATCAGACCCAGGGCAATAAAGGTAGAAAAGAAGGGCCACGTAGCTAGAAGAGATATTTTGAAGGTGGAATTACTTGGATTTGACTTCTTGTTTATAGAAGGAAGAGATGAATTCAAGCCTCGTTGCTAAGAACCTAGCAGAAACAGACGCTCACAAGTTGGTAAATATGCATTCTACTTTGTAAGAGGACGATTTGCTAATCTTCTTTAATGAATGTCTTCAGCCAGAAAGCTGCTTAGGGTCTTGGCTAGTTTCCTGCCCTCCAGAGCCTTCTCCAGACAGAGTTTAGTACTAGTAGAGATCCAAGAGATAAATGTCTGAAGCTCTTTAAGAAGTTTGATAAAGTTTCCAAAATGAATTAAAAGAGTCAGAAATGGACCAGCTCTTTCCAACCTCCAGGAAGCTATTAGGTTTCCCAGATAGGACAAGAAGTCTAACCTCATTGATACTTTCGGTTCTTATAACTCTCTATTAATCTATGGCACCTGTTAAAACTGCAGATTCCCAGACTCCACCCCAACTCCACTAAATCAGATTCTCTAGGAATTGACACCTAATAAAAGCTTCTCAGGTGATTCTTAGTACAATATGAGAACTGTTGGTCTCCCAGGTATCTGTCCCCACACTTCACTTCTACAGTGCATACTGTGCACTTCTAAGGAATAAGTGCAAAACTTGTTTCTTGGTTATGTCATTGGCATGTGCTGTCTCCCTGGCAAGATCATGAGGGCACTGAGCAGGGGAATTTGTATACCCTGGCACCCAGGCTTCTAGAAGACAGGAGTGGAATTTATCTGCCTGAACAAAAGGTGTTTGCCTCCTGTGTTTGAAAATAATGGTAAGGAATAGCAGTACTACTTATTTCTGATGAAGAAGCAAGAATCTTAGAACCCAAATGATGAATCTGACAGTAGCTTCACAGGGTTGAATACTTACCGATTTGGCTTCTGTACTGTTATCCAGGTAGTCTTCCCTCACAGCTAGGGAGAGTGTTGCTTGGTCCAGCTGTTAAAACAAAAACAGAAAGCATTCTGCTGGTACTGTAGATTCTATATACCATGTTACAAATAATCATGAGATCATCTCACCGCAGCCATATTTTGAGCTTGTGTCACCATTACAAAAGAAATTTCATTTTACTCAGAGCTACTTGAAAATAGGCACTTTGCAATGGCAGATCTTAAGTATCTGAGACCTGCCACTGCTTCCCTGATTCATGGTTTGTAATCCTTTTGAGTTTCTATCAACATTGAATAGCATCAAAGCAATTTGAATTAGAATAGATCTTAAAGATTATCTGCCCCCCCACACACACACTTATTTGACAGGGGTGGGGAACAAAAGCCAGAGAATTGATATGACTTTCCCAAGGTAATGTGATTGGGCACAGCTCAGTGTAAGTGTCTTCTGTTATCAGATCTATGATATTCATTACTGCAGTAATTTGCAAATGCCAATGTGGATGGAGTTAACCAATCAGACCTTCTACTTCCCTACCTCTAAAATAATTTTTTCCTAAAGAAATCAAATAATAATTTTAAGAAATCTTTGCAAATTTTAGAATCTCTCTGCAACATTAAGGATAGATGACAAAAATCCAATAGTCAGACAAGTAAATAAGTAGAATTATTATGATACATTATAATATAAACTCTTGAAATAAAACTTTAGCACCATAAAATCCAGTCAAGAGAAAGAACAGTCTTTTCAAAGTACATGCTATAAAAACTGGACATCTTTATGCAAAATAAAGTGGAACTATACCTCATACTTTGTACAAAAATTACCTGAAAATGTATCATGGATCTAAATGTAAATCCTAAAACTATAAAAATTCTAGAAGAAAAATATAGGGAAAATTTTTGTGACCTTAAGACATAAGAATGAAATCATGATTACATAAAAGAAGTTAATAAATTAGAATTAATATTAAAAAGTTTTGCTCTGTGAAAGACAAGCCAAAGAATGGATATTTTTAAATAATATGTATGTCAAATGATGTGTATTCATAGCACATAAAGGCTTCTCAAAACTCAATAATAAGAGAACAATCCATTTAATGTAGGCAAAAGATCTGAACATACTTCACCAAGGAAGATATGCAGATGGAAAATAGGCACATGAAAATATGCTCAACATCATTAGTCATTAGTAAAATGTAAATTAAACCAACAATAAAATACCACCACACCTCTTTTAAAATGTAAAATATATCTGATGAGTGTTGACGAGGATGTGAAAAAACTAGATCACTCATACATTGCTAGTGTGACTGCAAAGTTGCCCAGCTAACTTCAAAGGAAATCAGCTTGAGTGGAAAACAGCTTGAGTTTCTTATACAGTTAGACATACATTTACGTATAACCCACCAATCCCACTCCTAGGTATTTACCTAAGAGTATTAAAACTTGTACCCCCAAACCTTTATGTAATTGTATTCTTAACCATCAAAAATTGGAAACAAACCAAATATCCTTCATATTTGTGAATGATTAACTATGATACACAATGAAATACTATCCAGCAATAACAAGGAATGGACTGCTGATATATGCAAAAACATGGGTACATTTGACTTACATTCTAAAAGAAAAAAGCAAAACTATAGGAGAACAGAATGGAAGTCACCAGGATTTCAGGTTGGGGAAAGGAATTGAGTACAAAGGGACAACAGTAAGTAATTTGGGGGGTGATGGGATCACTCTATTTGTTGATTGTGGGTGGTAGTTACAAGATTCTGTGCATTGATCAAAATTTACATACATATACATCACAAAACTAGATTTAATTGTATATAAATTTAATTTTTAAAAAAGCTTCCAGACACTTCTCTAAATCCTATGGCTTGTTTTTCCTTGAATATCAGCAATTGACTAAAGAATAACTAAAATGGATCCCAACCACAATAAACAGTCCATATTTAAATCTGATTTTCACATTAAAAAGTTAAGCTGAATTAATAAGATACAAAACCTAAATAATTTAACTCAAAAATTAGTAGCATCTGAATAAAAACTAAATCCTACATGCCCATATCATTATTTTATGTAACTTTAAATTGTTCTGATCCATCTCCCTCTAGTTTCTTCTCTTCCTATAATCTCAAATATTTTACTCTCTTTTGAATACATGAAGTCTGAATAAGATTATAATTTTCCATAAAAACCTCCTTCACAAGAAACAAATTTTACAAAGACCAAGCTAAGAATTAGTGATGTCATGGAAAATTCAAGGAAAAATATTGCTATTGGGTTGTTTCTTGGGGGGAGAGATGCTTTCAAAATATCCATTTTGTCTGTGTATTGCTAAAATCCTCAAATTATTTTTTTTGACCTTCTCTAATTGGCCTGAAACAAAAAAGTCACAAGCCAGTCTGGCTTCTTCCTGCTGCAATTCCCAAAATACCACTGTTTCTTCCAAAAATTAAGTAAGACAGGATCATGAAACAAAATATTTTGATTAAGATGCTTTGGCCTTCAATTAAATTTGGACCACTTGGAAACTCTTGTGAGCTTCAGTCTCACAGGAAAAGAAACTGTAGATAATATCAAGAAAGCCAAAGTTTCCTCCCATGAAATGAAGATAAACCCACTTATTTTAAAAGTTTAGATAATTTAAGTGAGGCTACCAGACCTTTTATAAACCCTTAGATTATTAGGGGTTCTAAGGGTCATTTTAAATACACCAACAGATTGAATAAGATCAGTCAACTAAATCTCATTAGAAACAAACTCTTGAGGCAAAAGACTTTCTCAAGAAGCCAACATCAGGACACTATATTATTTGAGGCTTTTAAAATCTTTATATTGATGACTAATCTGAATATTGCAAGCAGAAAATAAAGCTGATACACTGCGCTAAAAATACAAATTTCCTCAAATAATAATAAACTTTGTGTTAGGAGACAGAATAATAATACAAAAACATCTAACAAATTATGATGCAGAAAAAGACAAAGAGATTAGAAAAATCTCATTTCCAACAGAGTCTCTCCTTCCCATCATGAATTTTCCTAAGCAAAAAAGAAAATGCAAGCCACTGAGTAAGAATGAATTTAATTTGTTGCTTTAAACTAGAGCAACCCTGGCCTTCCAAATACTCTTTTGGGATCACACACAGATTTAAAAACATAGAAGTTTTTAAATCTTCTATTGTCCCTTGAATCCTTATTCTTGCTATTTCCTAGCATAAATCAAACCCAAACACATGTAGCAAAATGACGTTTCAGGGCACTCAATTCTGATGTATCTTATATTTTTGTGTTTTCTTTCTCCCATTTAAGCCTGTAGCAAATTCTGTGCCATCTTGTCACAGGGGAGCTTTGCCAAGGGTCATTGTATGGGCCAAACTGTACATCCTTGGGATGGGGAAATATCTGCCCATTGGAAGCAGTGTTTTTTTTCTTCATCAAGAGGTACCATATGCTCACCTAACAAGACACTTATGGTGATATTCCTGCCCAGCAGGAGACATTTTTCTTATCCCTGTGGGTTTGTGATAATAGAGAAGCTAAGAACAGTGGGGAAAATAGAACTGGATGAAAAAAAAATAAGCCTAAATGCACTGAGGGAGGAGAGTTAGAAGTGTGAGAGATTTCCTCTAGAGCAGAAGGAGATTCTGTCAACCTGAAAAAGAAGTCAGTGGTTCTTGGGAGCAGAGGGAACCAGTTGGTGTCCCCTAGAACATAGCAGTATCTGAGGAAGAAAAGAGGCCCAGGACCACAGAATCAGAGAAGCTCATCTAAAGGGGCTATTTGGGTTCCAGAGTAAATTTCTTCTCAGATCATCAATGACTGAAGGGTATCCCCATGTCCTAGAAGAAAGTTAAGAAATGGAGCAACTATGAGATGGTGAGGAGTGCCTAGACTGAGGTTCAGTTTTCCAGCCAAAAGGTGTGGTAGAAAGCTTCATGATCAGATTAGGCTGAAATTGCACAACCAGATTTGAGACATGACAGGCATGTCAAATACACAAATTCAGAAGAATCCTTTAATAGTCCTGGGTCATGTTTTAAGAGAAGGGAACCTTTTATCATGAGAGTCTCTTGTGGATTAATATCTATGGTGGGAACTTGAAAACTTCAAGTCATTTAAACTCACAGCAACAGTGCAAAGTAAATTCTAATTTAGCCTTCTTTACACTTTGGGAAAGGGAGACTCAGAACTAAGTGAAGCAATTTGTACAAAGATATTCAGTGAGTAAATTGCAAAGTGAACTGAGACCCTCAATCTCCTCACCACCAAAGCTTACTATTTCCACATACCCATGGCCTTCAATGTTCCACAAAACCTAAAAGGGGTTCAGTGGCTCCAAACGTTCATTTAATGAAATTTTGTTTTTTATAATTTTAGCCACTTTTAAAACTAATAAAAAGCAACACACAAATTCTACAATTTTGGCAGCCACAAATACATTGACTTTGTGGTCAGATTAATTGGGTTTCATTCACATCTCAGAATAAAGCTTCCTCTATCATCTCTAGACACAAGTTTGCACTTTCTGTAACTATATCATGGTTAGGAAGATTATAGATCCATTTTGTTTAGGGGAAGGTGGTTAATTCAGTTGGGTGAATATTCACTAATATAAAATGGCACAGAGACAGAACTAAAGCAAATGTGTGCTATGTTCAAATGCCAAGCAATGCTCAAATACTTCAGTTTGGAACAAGCAGCCATATTGGCAAAGAAGAGCAGTAATAATAAGTACACGAGTGCCTCCTTACATTTGGGAAGTATCTATTACTGACAGTTTAGTGTTTCTAGGATCCATGTAATTGAATATTAAGTATGCAAGGCAAGCTGTTAACATGTTCCTCAATTCCCCATATTTTCTGTAAGCTAGTACTGAAACAAGAGGCTTGATTAGATTCAAGTTCCTTTTTTTTTCTTTTCTTTCACTTTGGCACATCATTGGAGATGGGATGCACTTCATACTGGTATCAAGAAGAACATAATATCTGGTTGTCCTATGTTTAACAATGATATTTGGGTTCAGGTGATATCAGTCTGATCTGTCATGAATGTCCCAAACTGTCACCTAATGGTTTTAGCAGCTATTGGTGATAGTTATCTGGACCTATTCTTTCATCAGGTCTTTTTTTAACTTTATTTATTTATTTTTATATGGTGCTGAGGATTGAACCCAGTGCCTCAAACATGCTAAGGGAGCACTCTACCATTGAGTCACAACTCCAGCCCATCATCAAGTTTTTTTTTATTAGTTGTTGATGGACCTTTATTTATTTTTATGTGGTGCTGAGAATCAAACCCAGTGCCTCACATATGCTAGGAAAGTGCTTTGCTTTACCACTGAGCCATGACCTCAGTCCAGGTTTTTTTTTTAATGGTAACTTTCTAATTCCATTATTTCTCCTGAATTCTTAAGCTGTGATTCACTTAAAAACAAGAACTTAGTTTTATCAGTTATTTGGTTACCCTGAAATCAGTGGAATCCAGAATGTGGAAAGGTCTATAGGTCAAATTATCTACTTTCTTAAACAAATACACATGGTTTTTTAAAAATGAGGGGAACTGCTACAGATTAAAATAGACATATCAATCATATGATTCTTATTTGGAACCCAAATCAAAGACCAAATGGTTTTGATTCGGGTTTTTTTAAAGGACATTTGTGAGGGCTAGGGATGTAGCCCAGTGGTAGAGTATGTGCTATAGCATCTTTGAGGTCCTGGGTTTCATCCCCAGCACTGCAAAATAAAATAAAATTAAACAAAATGGACATGCTTGAGACAATCAGGAAGATTGACAATTATCTGTGTATTAGATACCAAATTATAAAATTATGATCACTTTTGTGGTTGTGATAAGAGTCCTTTCCATTAGATCAGTACTGAAGTATTTATAATGCAATGATGTTATATTTTGAATTTTCTATAAAATGTTCCATTCTCTCTCCCCCAAAAAGAAGAGGCTTAGAAAAGAATAGCAGAAAGGTGAGGGTATTGAAGCTGGGTTGATAGGTACATGGGAGTATGTTTTTCTTTTCTTTTTATTTCTGTGCATATTACTTTCCATAATAAGTCTTTAAAGAAATTAATTCAGTTATTTGATTAGATCTAGATATCACTGTAAAGAAAACAGTTACCATTTGCAATGATTTATCTATGTGTTATTCAACATCTTCTGTTAATCAACAGAGCACATCAACTTAAGTTTCAATGACATACTCTGGTTCACTTCATAATACTGCTGAATGTATTTGGAGAAATATCATATTCTGTAATTAAGGATGATAGTCTTAAAACATAGTTTTAAAAACTGAGAAACCTATAACCATGGAACAAAGGTCACTTGGGTCACCACTATCATTGTATCTTATGTAGCACATCTTATCCTGATGGCATTAGAAGATACCTCAATACTATGCTATCATTCCATCACCCAACATAGAAACACAGCTGTTTCTGGAACTAAGAACTTCCTTCTGAGTAGGTTTGGAATTCTTTCAATGACCAAAGATTTGTATTGAAACTCAGTGTCTAAAATGGAGATCAGAAAGCTATAGGCTTTGGGCTAGCCCTCCACACAGCCAGGTACAAAGGCAGAGATATGTAGTTATGACAGAGTATAGATGGCGGGAAAAGCCTAAAATATGTACTCTCTGTCCCTTTACAGAAAAAAAAAAAGAAGTCCACTCTGATCTAACTCAAAAAATAGACTCCAGAATTTGAACTTTGGAAAGCTGAATTATATTGCATGATGGTAATATACTCTAATGGATTTATACTTCTATGATTTAAATATTATCATACCATTAATATTTTCTGGTTTAAAAAAGGACAGAATTCAGGGGTGAAATCAGTGGTTCAATAACATCATCATTATTAGCCAAAGTAACTGTGGAAGTAAAAGTTAAAAACCCAACAAGATCAAAGCACAAAACAATTTGAAAATATTACTTGAATTTTTACAAAACTCTTTCATTGTTGAATCTTCTGTTGTTGCTACTTTTCTGACAGCCTCCTGATTTTATCAATATGATGTACCTTAGGGCCTGTCCACCTGGCCCACTCCCTTATGGAAGAGATGCTCACTTTTCCAACAACAACAAAAAAAAATGTGACCAGGTACTTAGAACAAGTTCTGCTTGATCTTTTGAAAGGAAGGAGGAGAAGTTCAAATTGAACTAGACAATGAGAAAGCAGGTATGTAGGCATGAAACATTAGGAAAAGGGGGAACAAGGAATCATAGCATGTGTTCTATGTCAGGGGAATGAAGAAGTGAGAGAAAGGACAGAATTCAGAAAGTCTTTCATGACAGTAGAAGACCGACAACCCTCTTCCCACTGGAATTTAGAAACCCCACTCAGATATCTGGAGCAGATATCTGAGGGTCAGATCACAGAACACTTAAACTCACAGGCTTCCTGAAAAGTTGACAAAAGTTGTCTGCTAATGATTTATATTCTGAAAATCTTGTGGGATCTAATATAGATCTAATTATCTACATTCTGCAAATCTACATTCTAATGTTCAACAGAATTTTTACTTCATCATTTCACTAAGGTGGCATGAATTTCTTTCCCTAGGAAGGCGGCCTAAAAAGCTAATCTTGGAGCAAACAAAGAATCCTTCCTGGCTATACCTTCAAAATGTGTTCATTGGATGCCTTGTCATCAGGGGACACATACAAACGGATGAACACAGAATTGCTGTATTGACCACGAAATGTTGCAAGCGTTTGCAGAAGACTGAATTTTCTCTCTGACCAAACTCCTTCAGGACCGATATTAGCTTCAAGTACAGGCCAGCGGAAAGGTGAATGCCGCAGAATGTGGAGCAGTGGCTTGGCATCTGCTTTTTCGATGGCTTCTGAAAGGGATCAGAAATTAAGGGAGAGTTAGAATTGCAAACTGGATTACCAAACTAGAATGCAAATATATCTTCTCAAGAAAAAGTGCCCATAAGGCCCTAACTTGAAAATTCAGTTGTTAGGGAGAGAGAAAGAGAGGTATCCTGGATTGAGATTAACCCAGATACAGAACTCTAACTCACACTTTAATGTGACTGTCTAAATATGGTATTACTCCAGAAAGTTGATGGATGAACCTGTTGGATATTTTCTACAATAGAATATGGGTTTGCTACATTGATCCTGGTTAGACTTATAGTACTTGGTGGTACTAATGCACAATCCTAGTTTTAAAGGAAACTGATCAATAAAACCAATCACTCTGCAATAAAGTGAATTAATGCTCCAGACCCTTGATTTTCTGCCTTCTCCCAGTTTACCAAATGATACCCCAGATCCTAGATCAGTTAACATATTTTCTAGAAGCACTGGATCATTCCTACAACAGCCTTGAGAAAGCAGATCTGGTAAAATGGGTAGCATGTCTTCCAATCTAGTCATATCCAAGATATTGAGAGACAGGTCTGAGGCACACAACAGTGATGCTGGTTAAGCTAACAAAGAAGTCTGTCACACCTGGGAATCTGGATTTCTCTAGGTCCCAACATGTCCTATGAAATATACCAATTCTTCCAAGTATACTTTCTCAGAGCCTCTTTCTCAGACCAGAACTAGCCTGGCTTCTGGATGCTGGTTTTTGTGGGGTTTGCCCTACTGCCCTGCCCAAGTTTTTCATAGAGTAACTGATGCCCAAATAATCCAAGTCATCAAAATAAGATGATTTTCCATCAAGCCAGCCACAGAGATTAACTAAGAAAGACTAGTCAAAATCCAGCCTGAAAATTGCTCCATTCCTCAAATGATACCTTGAAACATTAATAGAATTTTTGTTTTTTTTCCATAAACAATATCTTTAAACTTCAATATAATTCTAAGGGATAAGGGTGGTAAATGTTTGATTTATTTTATTACTCACTCTCATTCATGCAGGATGAATAAAGGATTTTGGCTTTCTGTACGGCTTCAGAGTCACGCCTTCTACTGATTGATTTCTCCAACAGTGCTGGGAAGGTTAAGAGAGGATTCATTAGTATCCATCCACACAAGGTGCCAAGTTGGAGGTCATTAGACAATAACAGTCCTAGTCTCCAGAAAATTAAATGTACATACAGACAACTCTGAAAAATATAGATCTATAAAAGACATACAGACAGAAAAACCGATTCCAAATTGCTTGAGGTTCAAATAAAAACAATTTAACATTTTCTTCTCCCAGGCTGTCCTAACTCAAAAGAAACCAAAAGTTCAATTTCCAACTGAGACTGGACCTTCTGGAGGGGTTAATTTCTTCTGCCACTACACAAAAGGAAACATAATTCATTTATTCAAGAACCAAAAATAACTGAATTTGGTCTCTTGTTTCTGTACCAAGTAATAGTCTCAACGGAGGCAATTTCATCAGGGTCAGATTTCTTAAGATTTCTTCACAGTTCAGCCTCTCAAGGAGGTCACCTGGAAAAAATTTCCCATTAGAAGTTTTATTCAGTGTTGCATAAACATGCTGTGGACATGGAAGAAGTTATTTAGACAGGAAATGGAGAGGCAAGATTGGCAAGCTTACCCAAATTGCCTGAAAACTTGCCTATTTACACATGCAAAGTCTTGGCCATTTAAATGAGGCTATGTGTATAAAATAGCTGCCAAGCCCACCTGGAAAATGATTTTCTATTTATAAGATCACTAATAATACTGTTACATGAATCTGGGAAATGAAAGTTGTCACTGTTGCATTAAATAAGGAAAGAGGAAAGCCAGGACTCAATGAAAACAAACCTTTGCAAAAAAAAGAGGACCTCAAACTTACTTGAGCATATCAATTTTTCAACATGACACCAAGCTGAAAAAATCCCGATGGAGACTGAAGCACTGTGGCACTCCCTATTCCAACTATGTGGAACTGCTGTTGTCAAGGCATTTGGGGAAACAACCTAACAGCCTCCAAAATCACAGTACAACAGATGTTCCTACAGTTCTCTGAATAGCTTCAAGACACAATGTACAATCCTAATCATATTAATAAATAATTACATATTCCCTGAAGAGGTATCTATTTCTAAACTAGAACTTCAAACTACATCTCAAAAAAAATGCAATCCACAGCTTCTGTCCAGTTTTTTAATAAGCACCTGAATGTAAAACAAGTCCACATAACTAAATAGATTCCAGCAAGATAAATTAAGTTAGGTTAGATGTGGGCATTTTCAATTATTTCAGCTTGTTTGGTGTTTCTTTCTCATGTATCGTCATAGCAATAAAAGATAAAGCCCCAAAGATAAAGAAAGGACTTTTTTAAGTAAACAAAAAGCTCTAAAATCATATCCACATATATTCCCATTCAAATCAGATCATGTGCCTTTCCACCATATTGCTTACACAAACATTACCATCATTAGACTATTGTGGAGACACATTCAGAAATAAGTGGTCCAAGGGGCTGAGGTTGTGGCTTAGTGGTAGAGTGCTTTCCTAGCACACATGAGGCACTGGGTTCGATCCTCAGCACCACATAAAAATGAAATAAAGACATTGAGTCCACCTACAACTAAAAAATAAAGAAATAAGTGATCCAAATTTCATTTAGGGTTGCAATCATTTTCTGATGGTATAAACATTCCATAGGCTACAAACATGAGTGTGCTAGGGACCAAAACCAAATCACAGGAAAAAAAAGAACTAAAATTATTAAATATTTACCTGAGTATGCTCTCAAGGCATGCCATGTATCACAAGAAGAGAAAAAGAGGACACACATAAGCTAAGCAGGGCAATCCCCAAATCCTAACCATACACAAATACAAATAATTAATGCATGTCAAAATTCTGGTTTCCATAACAGAATTTGGCTTTTAAAATGAATCCAGCCATCACAGTTTCCTTGTAATACTCCTTTCCTTCCCTTCTCCTTTCTTTTTCTCTGTATTCAAACAGGCAGGGGAACATTGATATGCAGACAGTGATGTGGCAATCAGTTGGCAGCATTCATTTTATATATCTCTGAATATGAATTAGTGGTAAGAGGAATAAAATCTAGCCTGGAGAGTTGTTTAATGAGCAGAAAACAAAGCCTTCCTATCACAGGCAATTACTTGAATAATTAAAAAGTCCCTAAAGTGTTGAGAAGGGCTCATGGGTCACCCATATAGGGGAATTTCCAACCTAGCCTGTGTTGTTTCATGGAGGATCTCTCAACATCCCGCCCCCAGTCCTTACCATATTACAACAGAAAAGGAATGGTTGGAGAAGTCCTTCTGAACATCAAATTTGAATATCACATATATTATTTTTCTTTTCCTCATTATGCTCTATCAAATAAAATTTGTCTCAAAAATATAAGGCAGCATAATAGACATGCCAAGAGGATTAGCTTTGAAATCATATAGACTTAAGTTCCAGTTACAGCTGGAAAATGAGTAAGGTCTTTTATCTCCCTAAGCCTAGATTTCTTCATATGTAAATTTGTATAGTAGAATGTACCTACAGGTTTTGGTGAGGATTTTAAAGATTTAATGCACAGGAAGACTTCATCTTAAAATAAGGGGTGGTTTAGACAGGATTATGGGCCAAGTTAATGACACACAAAATTAGAAAGTAATCAAGCTTGTTTCTAGTATTTCCTCCTTAACTATGTCTCTTTTTCTCCTTCCTACTCAGGATATTGGTGGCCAAAGACCTTACATGAGCTCAAGGTGCTGCCACTCTGTGTACAGAAGGACATTTCTATTGTGAAACCTTTTCCCATTCTATTAGAACTAATTTTCTTATGGTATCTTGTGAGGGACTGACACTTTTTCTTTTAATGTAGTTCAACTTGTCCATTTTTTGCCCTCATAGTTGCTATATTTTGTGTCCTATTTTAAAAATCTTTGCTCATCCCAAAGTCATGAAGATAGTTTTCATTTTAGATCTACAGTCTATCTGGTATTTCTTTTTGCACATAATATAAACAGCCCTGCCTTTGTAACACACACCTGTCCTCATAGGGAATGAAGCATGTGAGAATTTTTTTAAAAAATTTTAGTTATACATGAATACAATATCTTTATTTTTTTTTTATTATTTGTTTTTATGTGGTACTGAGGATCGAATCCAGTGTCTCACATGTGCAACGAAAGCACCCTGCCACTGAGCCACAAACCCAGCACAGCATGTGAGAATTTTAATAAAGAATATATTTTTCATCATTACATATCAAATAATATCATAAAAATATTCTGATGTGAAAAACTGGCATTAACAATGGCTACTCTCTATTCAACAGATTATATCTTTGAGCAGAGGCTGGATCACATTCCTCTTTAAAGAACCAGGGCCTAGAGCTTGGCATGGCTGGTATACAGTAAATGTTTGCTAACATGAATTCCTGACAAGGAAAGACAGAGACAGAATTTTTCACCCAACTGAAAAGAAACTATGAGAAGCCACACTGACTACTTAAATATTTCATCTTACGATCAGTATTATCCTTAACATGCTAACATTCTAACTTCCTTTTTTCACATTCTAATCTCTGCCTCTGCAATGATATCCAAGACTTCATCTGTTTTTATGAACACCAGTTCTTAGAATACCCAAGTTTAATTTTACCAATTGCCTCATTTGAATCACTCATTCCCAATGCCTTGCTCTTCTCTACTGAGGTTGGGGGATACTTGGCATTCTACTTCCTTTACCCTCAGCAGTCAAGAGAAAATCATCAGTCCTACTCTCTCAAATCACTCTTCCTACTAAAAAGGGGGCATTTATTGAGCACTCTAGAAGATTAAAAGAAAATTCCAAAAGAAGGCTTAGATTCCTGAGGACTTTATAGTGTCCTGGTTTGTCATGAGTTCAGTAATAGTCATGTGCATGCAGCTCAGGTCAGTCATTTGATGTTTCTGCAATGTGTAGGACCTGCCTGACTATTTTTATTTATTTTTTAATTCCACATGTACAAAGTTTTAGGATATGAGCAAAATTCTACCAAGAAACTTGGGGTTATGCTAATAATGTGAAAGAGGTAGCTTGATCACACAGAAAATCTTACAAAGCTTCCTCTTTTGTGTTCTTTCTCCTGGTCCTGCAATATTTCTTTACCTGCTCTGAAGGGAATCCTCTGGCTGTTTGCTAAGAGACCAGTGAATGCTAGAGCTGTTTGCTCAATTTTTGCTGAATGAAAACAGCAACTGCATTTAACCTTCATATCAATATCACCAAAGTAAATTCTCAATTCCAAATAAATTATGCCAACTCTTCTCCTTTGGAAATTAAAGGGAGTACCCTCTTAATTCTTGTGAAAGAAAGAACATGGGAAATCAAAACTTTAGAAAACAAAATCTATATTTTAAGCTTCCATACCTATATAATGAACAGAATGTTCTCTAGACCTATATATTTTTGAAAGCTTATCATAGCATGGCCTGCTTTCTCCTTTGGTGGTACTTAAAAACCACCTTTGGATGGTCCATGGTTGAATGTCACCTCTAATCTTACTATTTTTAGTCTTTGTTGATTTTCTAGGCTACAGACTTCAATTTGGTTTCCAGGCTCCAGGGTTTATTTACCGCACTAAAAATTTTCATTTTTCTAACTCACACTGCATGGGTATTAAACCCTTATGCAGTTAAATCGGGAGACTCTAAATCAGCTTGCAAAGCCCGTTGTTATTCCCATTAAAAAATAAAATTCAAGTTAACTAAGTCATGGTCTGTGAATCCCATAACCCTCATATTTTTCCACAAATTGTGTGACACTCAGCTTTACAGTTCTCAGCCCACAGCCAGTCAAGCATGGGATTAACTGAGTCTGTTTGACATACTGAAAAGACAATAAGAGCTGATATTTCTCATTCTTCTAGAAAACTCCCACCTAACTACAGGGAGAGAAACTGTCAGAATTATTTTCTATGTCCATTTTTTATGATCATCTTATAAATGATAATTATTGGATAGCCTCAGCTTAAGAAAGAGGGCAGAGATGATATTCAAGGAATTAAAAACCTCTAACTCATCAATCTAAATCATAGGT